GCCTCCATAAAACAATATCTTCTCTTTCGAATAACTACGTTCTGTTATCCTATTTATTGAATTTGAAACGTGTGGTACGTTTAAAAACAGGAAATCTTCGTCAGCTTCGCAAAATGTCATAATTTTGTCCAATGTCGGGTAGTCGTTATTTAAATATATTGAGTGAACTTTTCTCCTTATTGCACATTTGTCTAGTTCATCTAATTTATCGACCGTCGATAGTCGAGCTCTTTTTTTCACGGGTTATTTTAATGTGTTAGTATCCTATTGTTCTTTCATAATTTTATAAACAGTATTTTCGGACACACCACATGCACTTGCTGTTTTTATTACTATGCTCTCCACAGTCGCATTTAAATCACACAGTTTAAAGTACTTATAAACATTGTAAATTACGCGTCTCTCTCCGCTTTGGATTATTGATCCACTTTTATTCTTTTGAATAAGTGAGGTATTCATTTTCAAAATTTAATGTTGAACGAGTAACACTCAAAATAAACAACCGTTTGGTTCTAAGGCCTGACTTCAACTGGTCACTGTGAACTCGACTTTCTAATTTCTTCCATTTTAATTGGCTGGGGGGCGTGGCCAGGCCGGCGGACAACAATGACTCACTATTTTCTAAATGCGAACGCGCCGCGCGTCGAAAAAAGTGTAACCACTATCCAAACGCGACGACGTAGCTTTGAAACTAATAATAATTTTAAATAAACTTATATCTATCTCACTTACACAAGTTGCGAAAACAATATCGTCGCTATTTTCGTTCGCGAGATTAGAGAGAAACATGCAATGGCGGGTTGGTGTGGCTTACTATATGAAATTTTACCTAAAATACGTAACAAAAAATAGTTTTTTTTAAGGTGCAGTTAATTGTCTTTATATTAAAAAAGTATAATTTATTTTTAAATCTTTATTGCGTCCCCTTAGAAAAAAAAGGATAAAAAGCTTATCAGATGAATAGAAGTAAACATAATGATGATATAAAACATATTATTATAAGTATTTTTATTGTACTGATAAATCAAACAATATAAACTAGGTAATAAAATATAATTAATGTAAAATTAATACGAAATTATAATTAATATAAAATCATTAATATAAAATAAGTAGGTAATAAAATATATTTAGTAGATAATTCATTATCATCATCATAATTCATTAATAAACTAAAATAAGAATAATTAATTATTTTGTATGAAAGTTAAAACGTATTTTTTGTAATAATTTCCAAAATATTTAAAATCAGAGGTAACAAATTAATTTACTCCGTTAATAATATAGTCTCCCATTAATGTAGGATAATCACAAATGCGGAAAAGTGGCAACATTGAACCTAAATGGCAATATTCGATAATTTTATTTAATTATTCGATGATTAAAACTACTTTTACGGATTTTGTCGCGTTTATTTTTATTTTTTTTTTTTAACTTTTTATTTTTAATTCCCGACGTTTCGGGCGCTTTCCAGCACCCATGGTCACGGGGGACTGAGATGACTGACGTCCCGATGTCATTGTTAAACCCGGAGTACCTTCAGCTTTTTTAATTATTGTTTACGGTCCGATCTATGCAAAATGAACTGACTATGTCCTGAGGTCTTGCAGTGGTATGCTTGGGTTTAGTTTTAATTTTATTGATTATAGGATCCCAAGCAGGTGGTAGTACCCAGCCTCCTTCTCTATTGAAATTAGGATGTTTTTTAATTTCAATAGCCTCACGTATCATCCTTGGTAGGAATCGGTGTTCTTTCGCGAGGATTTGTGGTCTATCAAATCTGATGTAATGGTTGGGGCCGTCTAGGATATGATCACAAACTGCAGACTTCCCTTCAGTCAGTCATCTCAGTCCCCCGTGACCATGGGTGCTGGAAAGCGCCCGAAACGTCGGGAATTAAAAAAAATAAAAAGTAAAAAATAAAAATAAACGCGACACAATCCGTAAAAGTAGTTTTAATCATGTGCAATGTTCGCGTAAATATAAGAAATCATTAATTATTCGATGTTTTTTTACGTTTATATGAAAATAAGAACTAAAAATTATGTGTTGAAAGTGATTCCGCTTGATTTATTACGTTTTTGTAACCTTGAATAGCATTCTTTCACTACGCATTTACCAATTTATTGTCGCGGCTCCACTTTGTCGGCGTTAGTTCGGTCGGCGTCGTTCAGTGTTCAATACACTGAACTGACGTTAGCTAGGCATATGGCTGTGGTCATATGTGCAGTGGTAACGCTTTGGCGCGGTATGTTACTAACCAATTTATGGACTCTTGTCTGAAATAAAGATTATTATTATTATTATTAATTAAACGAATCACAAAAAACGTTTTCAACTTTTTAACAAAATCTTAACAAAAACATTAAGTTTCAAAAACAAATATTTTGGCCAAATTAAATCGCGTATACGCAACAAGGCCTATATATTTCAAATTAAAAATTCTCCAAAACTAATCTTAAACTTAACAAAATGAAGTTTCATAATATTAGACAGTTTGGTTTCCTAAAGTTATAAAAAGTTTCACAAAGAAATAAAAATATTTAGCCTTTTTATCATGCGATTGGAATAAACCTTCTATTATTAACAAAATTAAGTAATTTTTTTTTAAATTGTCTAAATAAATATAATCTAATAAATCTATCTTATTTCACATTTTAACCGGATTTTTGTAAATTATGTAAGGATTATGAAATTAAACTATTGTATAAAAATTTTGTTGTTTACATTTTAGAAACCTCATATTCGATCTTCACGTGCAACGCTCACTTCATATTTAGGTATATTATCATAGAATTGTAATAAAGCCAAGAGAGGAAGCCAGGAGATACATAGCACATGGTAACCTATTTTACACTCCTGTCTGCCACAACAACTAAAATGCTTAAACTATTTGTGAAAGAAATGTGCATGTCTGAATTGTGGGAGAAATAAATGTATATTATTATTGTTAAAAACCATTAAAAGAGATTAAAAAATCACACCTCTCAATACACCTTTTTCACAGTATAAACTTTAAAATCTATCTCCTCTTACGCAGCAAAAAGCAGGTAAAAACTAATTCAGAACTTTCAATATGACTCCCACATTAAGGCTTTGTCTTCGTTATTCAAAGGATATTAGGTACTTGATACTAATAGGGCCTATGTTGTAATAAGGCCTATGCACCAAAAAACCTAGAGAAATGAACCATATTTCAATAATAATTCACGCGACCGCATGTAACGGCCCTATAAATCACACAAATGCGTGGGCGTCCCGCTACCCCTCCCAGTCGACAGTTGGCACGCGTTCTTCGAGCAAGGTGGACGATTTCGCGCCAAGTTTTAAAACACTGGAGATTTCGAGGTAATTTTTTAGTTAAAATTACTTAGTTTTGTGTACGATAATTTAAACAACTATTTTCTTAATATATTTACTAACGTTTTGTGTCGTTAGACTTAAGATTTGTCCATTGATGTACTTTTTGTATATTTTTAAAGATAATTTGAACGGGATGTTTAATAAGGCCTAGGCCTTATTTGTTGCGCGCTAGGCCTTATTTGTGACCACAGGCCTTATTGAATATACCGCTTTTTTCAACAATGTTGGTACATTATATCATTGCTTGACCGACCATTTGGTGATAATAATTGATTTTGGTGACAATGCAGTGTCGGCGGGTTTGGCAATCTCTATTTTCTTAATTTTCAATATTCTATTGCAGAGTTATTAGTACCTGTCATCAGTCCCCAGCAAGATGTCTCCATCAAAACAAAAACGCGCTACCTGGTCAGAAGATAGTTTGGCCGCGGCAGTTCGTGCGGTACGTAATGGAATGTCAACTTATAAAGCATCAGCGCAATATGGTATCCCGCGAAGAACTCTAAGAAACCATGTCAAAAATGGGAAGATCACCAAAAGATTAGGAAGACAAACTATATATATATAGACTTACACTGACACTTCAGATCAAGAAAAAGATTTTGTAAAACGAATAATAAAATTCTCGCAGCTGGGCATACCTTTGACTCCGAAAATGATCAGAACACACGCGTTTGCTTTTTGGCAGAAATTTAGTATTCCTCATAACTTTAACGAACAATCAGGGCGTGCAGGAAAAGGATTGGTTAAGGTTGTTTTTAAAAAGGAACCCAGAGCTGGCCAAACGTAAGGCACAGTTTTTAAATCCAGCCCGTCCCCAAAAATGGAATATACCCATTGTATTCCACCATTTTGAAGAAGTAAAAAACTTTACGATGAACTGGAATTGCATGATCATCCAGAAAAAATTTATAACATGGATCAAAAGGGCTGCAGGCTTACGTTACGTCACCAGCAGACAGTGATCTCACAAAAAGGAGCAAAGAGGGTACACATACAAGTGGCAGAACATGTAGAAAATGTAATAGTTGTTGGTTGCGCCAATGCGATTGGAAAGCCTGTACCTCCAATGATTTTGTTTAAAGGAAAAAGGAAGATGGCAGAGTATGAAAAAAAATCTTCCTCCAGGGTCTATTGTTCAAATGGCTAGAAAAGGAAGCATGACAACAGACCTATTCACTATCTTTATTAAACACCTAGCCAAATATAAAACATTTGGAAAATGTTTACTCATTTTTGAAGGCGCAAAGTGCCACTTGGATTTTCGCAGTGCTGTATTGCCTGTCATCTAATACTACGCACGAGTTGCAACCTATGGACAAGACTTGTTTCAAGCCATTTGAGACGTATTGGGATAAAGAAGTTTTACAATTTCTTTACTAAACTCGTGCAAAGGCAATCTCAAAACAGCAGTTCAATAAAATATTAACACGGGTGTGGGCCAAGTGTATGACTACTGCAAACATTACTAGTGGGTTCAGAGCGACCGGTCTTTATCCACTTAATCCTAATGCAATACCAGAAACTGCTTTTGCCCCATCAATTTTAACCCAACGATCAATCCATTCCGTCTTGTCAAATGAAAGTGAAGTACTTGGACATCCTTCCAAACTCCGATACTGCAATGGACACACATGATGACTTCTGCTCCCTCGCCGCCCATTGCCACTTTACAAGAATTAAGAGATCTGATTACAACAGAAATTCTGCCAGGAACATCTGACACGCCAGATATTCAAGTATTTCAAAATTATTCTTCTGTGCGTCATACGCCAGCATTCGCTGATGATGAAAATCTACCATGGACCAGTGGAATACACAATAAACAGTCTCTTGTAGCTTACAGCGACACAGACGAATCTTCCGACACTGAAACAAAAAGCAAATTTGTGCAATCTAAAATTAACAGCAAATTTTTATACAGACCTTTTCCAGTACGAAGTTTGAGGATTTATTCGTCTACTGATTCAGAAACAGACGTCACGAACGAACGATCCAAAGTAGTATCTGTTCCTCAGTCTCCACAAACTTTTGAGGTCGCCGTAGATGTACATCTGTCTCCTAAATCAAAAATAAACCAAGTACCTGAAAGATCCGAACATATTTTACTTCTATCTCAGCATTCAAAATCAATCATTTCAGCAAGTCCGACAATTTCATACCTATCTCAACCTCAATGTACATCTACAAGCCCGAGAAATTCATCACAAGACTCACCAGATGAAGATAACGTGTCTTTAGCACAATTAAGTACAAAATCTCCATTCCAGAAATTTATGCCAACACCTGATTATGGCGATATTAAAACTAGACCACGAAAAAGCCTTAAACTATAAAGGTCAAAGAGTAACAAAAGATTTGTTTCAAATTAAAGATACAAAAGTCAGTGAAAAGAAAGCAGTTTCAGATAAAATAAAAAAACCTGTAAGAAAAAACACAAATTCGAAATCAAATAAAAAGACTGAAAAGAATAGCACTAAGAAGAACGTAAAAACAAGAAGGAGGAAGGAAAATAAGGAGGAAGAAAGTTGGTACTGTCACGCCTGTGGTGAAGACAAAGTCGCAGATATGAGATCTTGCAGAGACTGTTCTAGGTGGTATCACGATGAATGCATTGGACTCACAACAGAGGATGTTAACGCCTTTTTATGTCCTGACTGTGATTAATTTGAGATCTATTTTAGTTTATAAGAATTTAAGACTGATGGAAGTTGCTAATTTGATTTTAATTTGATTTCTTTTGTGACCTTAATCAGACATGGTATTGTAATAAGGCCTACCAAAAAAAAATAATAAAAAAAGTTTTTTTGTATTTTTTATAATAAAGGTGTAGTTAAGTATTTATTTGCTACAGTGACAATTTAATTTCATTGATATTTTACTTAATTTTGTTAATAATAGAAGGTTTATTCCAATCGCATGATAAAAAGGCTAAATATTTTTATTTCTTTGTGAAACTTTTTATAACTTTAGGAAACCAAACTGTCTAATATTATGAAACCTCATTTTGTTAAGTTTAAGATTAGTTTTGGAGAATTTTTAATTTGAAATATATAGGCCTCGTTGCGTATACGCGATTTAATTTGGCCAAAATGTTTGTTTTTGAAAGTTAATTTTTTTGTTAAGATTTTGTTAAAAAGTTGAAAACGTTTTTTGTGATTCGTTTAATTAATAATAATAATAATAATAATTTTATTATTATTATAATAATAATTTTCTAATAAATAAAATGGAATAATAATAATTTTTCCCACCAGACGGCTTGATGTCGGCAGGGTCTTCTCGGACTCGGCAAGCGGCATCCGCCGCTGGTGGAGTGCGCCGCATGCGTTGGACAAGGGATATGAACGCAAACGCATTGTGGGCCTACTATAGGGCGAAAGGAGAAGAAACTGCGGGGATAGCGTATCGGGCTCGGATGCATTGCTTTTTTGCTGAGCTGGAGCCGTCTATTCCCGTCACGGAAAAAAACCCGGCAGACCGAGTTCGGTACATCATGCGCTCGAAAATATTCGACTACGACGTGAGGCCATTCCCTCATCGAATGAATTGGCTACGGCTGGGGATGAGGCTCCTCAGGCGACAGACCAGCTGCCACGCGTAGAAGCCGCCATGGATCTTCCAGTTGTGGGTGATTCATACGATGATGAAATGGTCTCCCACGAACGAGAGCAAATGAGGAGTATATTGGAAGAGGCGATTTTGGAAACGCGCAGCATGCCTCTCGAAAATCGACCGCGACTTCCCCGCATACCCCTAAGCAAGCGAAATCGGGCTGTCGTGAGGGCTCTTAACCCAATGCTGGTAACCTATTTTGGCGCCGCAGTGGCAGCTTGCCGTATTATTGGCGCCAAACTTCCCATGGCTGGACGCGCTACTAAACAAAGTAGCGCCATCCCAGCCTGGAGAAAAAGAATTGAGGACCGTATCACAAAGGCAAGGGCCCTTATCGGCAGACTGACAACCATCAGGTCGGGTAATAATAGACCGAGGGTTGTGCGCACCGTTAGAATGGCGTTTGCTGGGACAAATATCAGTTTGTCCCAGCCGGATATCACGCAGAAACTAACGGAGCGCATAGACTACCTGAAGCAAAAGATTGCAGCTTGGGGGAAGCGGCTTCGCCGATTTACCGAGAGGTCAAGGCGGTTCAACCAGAATCGTCTCTTCCAGAGTGATCTGAAGAGGCTTTACAAATCATTGGAGCGACCAGAGGTATGTGGAGCGGGCCCAGGACCGGATCAGGCTAACACTGTCGCATTTTGGCGTGGCCTGTGGTCAGAACCCGTAAACCACAGCGAGGGCCCTTGGACGGAAGTTGTGGCGAGTCAGTGTGCGAGTATTACGCCCATGGACCCCGTCATCATAACGCCGGATGACGTAGCTGAGGCGGTTCGTAGAGCACCGAACTGGAAAAGTCCGGGACTTGACGGACTGCATCACTACTGGCTGAAGGGGTTCATGGTGTGTCACGCTGTGCTCGCCCGTCGGTTTCAAGAGGCTCTCAACCAGAAGTCACTTCCGAGCCTCTTCAATACTGGGATCACTCACTTGGTTCCTAAAGATCAGGATACCACAGACCCGAGCAAATACCGCCCCATCACGTGTCTACCCACCATATATAAGACACTGACATCCATTTTGAGCGCGAGAATCACTCGTCACCTGGAGCTAAATCAGGTGATGTCACGCGCTCAAAATGGATGTCGGGGCGGTGGTCGTGGAACTAAGGAACCACTCCTCATTGACGCGGTCATTGGCAAAGTGGTGAAACGCAACCGTCGGAACTTCTCCACCGCCTGGATAGACTACAGAAAGGCATTCGACTCGGTGCCCCATGCATGGCTAAAGAGAGTCCTCGAGCTGTACAAGATAGACTGTACAGTGAGAGACTTCCTCGAGCAGTGTATGGGGCAGTGGAGTACGATCCTTTGTCATCTGGGTGAGCGGATGATGGCTGCGGAGAACCACATAAGGATAAGAAGGGGTATCTTCCAGGGCGATTGTCTGAGTCCAATCTGGTTCTGCCTCTCCCTGAACCCTCTCAGTACCTTACTGGAGGGATTCGCGAGAGGATTTCAGCTACAGAAAGGAGGGACAAAAGTGACCCACCTTTTCTATATGGATGACCTTAAGTTATTCGCCTCCAGTCGCTCCCATCTTGTGGAATTGCTAAAAATCACTTGTGAGTTTAGCAGTTCCATTGGAATGGAGCTGGGGACGGATAAGTGTGCGGTCCTCCTCCGGACTTAAGGACCCTTTCCGAGGCTGAAACATACCGATACCTGGGTATGTCACAGAACATCGGTATCGATGAGGCTGGTGTGAAACAGTCAGTTTGCGACGTATTTTATGCACGCTTGACCAAAGTGCTTAATAGCCTTTTGTCCGGTGTGAATAAGACACACGCATATAACGGTTGGGTCATGCATGTCCTTATGTATACCTTTGGCATACTCAGGTGGACTCAGACTGAACTTAACGCCCTGGATAGAAAAGTCCGCACTACCATGACGTCCCATAGGATGCATCATCCGAGATCGTCGGTAATGAGGCTGTACTTGCTGCGAAAGCATGGTGGGCGTGGCTTTCTGAGCGCGCTCACTATGCATAATCGTGAAGTGTGCAGCCTCCGTCATTACTTCCTGGCGAGATCGGATGATCCATTCTATAATGACGTCATTTCTAGTGATAAAATGCTTACCCCTCTATCGTTGGTCAACGAGCAATGGCAGGACCCAGCAGTGCTTAGCATTTCCGACCGGGAGACCGTATGGAAGGAGAAGGAGCTCCACGGGAGGTACTACAGGGCTCTACATGAGCCCTTCGTAGATACAGTCGCCTCCCTCAACTGGCTACATTTCGGTGACCTCTTCGGGGAAATCGAGGGTTTTGTCTGTGCAATACAGGATCAGGTTATTAAGACCAACAACTATCAGAGATACATCCTAAAGGATGGCACCGTCGACATCTGTCGAGCTTGTCGCCATCCCGGGGAGTCACTTAGGCATGTCATCTCCGGTTGTTCGGCGCTTTCTAACTCTGAGTACTTACACAGGCACAACCTAGTAGCCAGAATTCTACACCAGGAGCTCGCTATGAAATACGGTCTCGTGGACCGGAAATTGCCGTATTACAAGTACTTGCCGGAAGCCGTGCTCGAAAATGACCGCGTCAGGCTCTACTGGGACCGGGCCATCATCACAGACAGGACTATTCTTGCAAATAAGCCTGATATTGTGCTGATGGACTGGGCACAGTCAAGGATATTTTTGGTCGACATTACCATTCCGTATGACGAGAACCTCGTGAAAGCCGAAACAGATAAGCAAACAAAATATCTGGACCTGGCTCACGAGGTGACCGACATGTGGGGTGGTCTGCCGACCGAAATTATTCCTGTAGTCGTCTCTGCAAACGGGCTAATCCCAGTCAGCCTCTCGGGTCATCGGAGGCGACTGGGACTCCGTGACGGACCGCTCCGGGCTCAAATGCAGAAGGCAGTGGTCCTCGATACCGCCCGCATCGTCCGTCGGTTTCTTTCCCTTTCCCCCTAACCCTCGGCCGTTTGGTCTCCCCCTGCCGAGGGGCTTCCATCTGGTTGGATCTTTATTTATTTGTGTATTTTTTGTATTTATTTTATTTTATTGATATATTTATCTTTTCATTTTAATTTATAATTATATATTTATATACCAAAAATTATATATTTATATACCAATTAATATATACCAACCAGATGAGAAAACTATACAGATACCCCAAAAGTAATAATTTTAATTTAATAATTCTACACCAGGAGCTCGCTCTGAAATACGGTCTCGTGGACCGGAAATTGCCGTATTACAAGTACTTGCCGGAAGCCGTGCTCGAAAATGACCGCGCCGGGCTCTACTGGGACCGGGCCATCGTCACAGACAGGACTATTCTTGCGAATAAGCCTGATATTGTGCTGATGGACCGGGCACAGTCAAGGATATTTTTGGTTGATATTACCATCCCGTGTGACGAGAACCTCGTGAGAGCCGAAACAGATAAGCAATCAAAATATCTGGACCTGGCTCACGAGGTGACCGACATGTGGGGTGGTCTGCCGGCCGAAGTTATTCCTGTAGTCATGTCTGCGAATGGGCTAATCCCAGTTAGCCTCTCTGGTCATCTGAGGCGACTGGGACTCCGTGACGGACCGCTCCGGGCTCAAATGCAGAAGGCGGTGCTCGTTGATACTGCCCGCATCGTCCGCCGGTTTCTTTCCCTTTCCCCCTAACCCTCGGCCGTTTGGTATACCCTATCGAGGGCTTCCATCTGGTTGGATCTTTATTTATTTGTGTATTTTTTGTATTTATTTTATTTTATTGATATTTATGTATATTTATCTTTTCATTTTTATTTATAATTATATATATATAGAAACCAACCAGATGAGAAAACTATACAGATACCCCAAAAATAATAATTTTAATTTAATAATTCTACACCAGGAGCTCGCTCTGAAATACGGTCTCGTGGACCGGAAATTGCCGTATTACAAGTACTTGCCGGAAGCCATGCTCGCAAATGACCGCGTCGGGCTCTACTGGGACCGGGCCATCATCACAGACAGGACTATTCTTGCGAATAAGCCTGATATTGTGCTGATGGACCGGGCACAGTCAAGGATATTTTTGGTTGATATTACCATCCCATATGACGAGAACCTCGTGAGAGCCGAAACAGATAAGCAATCAAAATATCTGGACCTGGCTCACGAGGTGACCGACATGTGGGGTGGTCTGCCGGCTGAAGTTATTCCTGTAGTCGTCTCTGCGAATGGGCTAATCATAGTTAGCCTCTCTGGTCATCTGAGGTGACTGGGACTCCGTGACGGACCGCTCCGGGCTCAAATGCAGAAGGCGGTGCTCGTTGATACTGCTCGTATCGTCCGCCGGTTTCTTTCCCTTTCCCCCTAACCCTTGGCCGTTTGGTCTCCCCTGCCGAGGGCTTCCATCTGGTTGGGCTTTTATTTATTTATGTATTTTTTTATTTATTTTATTTTATTATTTATTTATTTTTTATTTACACTTTATTGCACCATAAAAAGATTACAAAGGGCGGACTTAATGCCATTAGGCATTCTCTCCCAGTCAACCCGGGACGTGTGGAAATTATGTGATAGGTGACAAAATAAAATGAACAATAGAGTAAATCAAGGAAAAAAACTACTGATAAACTTAAAAACAAACTAATATTATATATACAAATTCAATAAACTTATATACTCCAAAATATAATACAGATAATATATAATGTATACATACATATTCATAGATACATAAATATATACATATTTTAAATACAAATAGATGTATAATATAAACCTATAAATAAAATAACAACAAAGGTAACCAAAATTAACAATATTAACTATCATCTAATATTTTCATAAAATGCTTATGTACCAATCTTTTAAAAGCAGTCTTATTAGATGTTTTTCTGACGTCATCGGGCAAGGAGTTCCAGAGCAGTGCAGCCTGAATTGTGAAGGATTTACCAACAAAATTAGAAAAATGTAGAGGGATACTTAGTTTATTATTATATGAGGAACGCAGAGTTCTATCATGCTTTAGGGAAATATATTGAAATTTTTCCTTGAGATAAGAAGGAGTGGATGGATCATTTAAGATAGAGAAGAGAACAAGCAAAATTCTAGAGTCACGCCTCTGTTTAATAGTAAGCCATTTTAGGCGAGAGCGATAGTGAGAAATATGATCAAATTTACGGAGATTGAAAATGTATCTGACGCAATTGTTGAGAAGGCGCTCTAGCTTGTTGAGAAGATTTTGGTTTAAATCCGGGTAACACACGTCTGCATAATCAATGATTGGTAGTATAAGTGACTGTACAAGCATAATTTTAGTCTTAAAGGGGAGAAAATTTTTCAATCGATAAAGTGAACGTAAAGACCCAGAGACTTTACGACATGTTTCAGAGATATGAACCCCCCCAGGACAGAGTACTATCGATATGGAGACCTAGATTTTTAACTGAGGGAGAGAACGGTATCAGACGATCATTATAATAGACGGGAGGTAGACTAGCGGCATCTATTTTAGCAAGCATCCTTGAGCTACCCACAATCATCGCTTGGCATTTAGTAGGGTTGACAGACACTCCAAAACGCATAGACCAATCACAGACTGACTTGAGATTTGAATTCAATTTGTTTATCGCATAATGGATGTCAGAAATGTCAGACTGTACATAAATTTGTAGGTCATCAGCATACAGATGGTACGAACAATCAATATTAGATGTGATGGAATTAATAAAAATAGAGAAGATTAATGGAGAAAGTATACCGCCTTGCGGTACGCCAGAAATCAGGTCAACCCACTGTGAATTCATTTGCTCCACGTGGACAGACTGTTGACGTCCGCGAAGATAAGATGAGAACCATTCCAGGACTGACGGTGCAAACCTATAAT